CGTTCGCGCTAACCTACGGCAGTGACGCGGTCATCCCAATTCGAGACAGTTATACCCACATATCGCATCACCATGTTCAACGAAAAATACAACAACGAAGCTCGACTCACTGACCTCGAGCTAACTACGGAGAGGCGGGAGACACCCGCTATCAAGCTGGCGGCAACAAAGGCCCAGGTTGCGAAATACTACAACGCCAAACTAGTCCCACACAACATCCAAATCGGAGACCAAGTGCTGAGGCGTAACTTTCGCCCCGACGCGAAACATGGAAAGCTAGCGTCAACATGGGAAGGACCATACATCGTCCGCGAAGTTGTTGGCGCCAATACATTCAAGATTAGCACGCTGGGCGGCAAAACAATCCCGCGTACATGGAATGCCCAGAATCTAAGAAAATACCACAGGAGATTGTAACCACCACCCCCATGTAACCTTGACATCCGACTTGAGTAATGAGATTCTCCTTCCTCCATATAATAGCAAAGTAACCGCGCGGTCATGAACCGCGCTACAAAATAAAGCACGCATATGATGCGCGACATGTCACGCAACCACGAGTTGCGATACAAAACAAATAGAGCTACAACGTAGTCATGTAACCGCGTGACCATTAGTCACGCTAAGAACGCATATGATGCGCAAGTCCTAAAGCAATCACTATCATAATAGTAACGTAACCGCACGGTCATGAACCGTGCTATGAAACAGTTCATGCATATGATGCGCGATACGGCACGCAACTACAAGACAGTAACGGAACTGCGCGGACATGAGCCGCACTACATAATACTTGCAAGATGCGCAAGATAACTTAAGCACCATTCAATGTAAAGAGTGAAGAAGAAAAAAGCGAGTGAGGAAGACAAAGAGCAACGCGAGATAACTTAAGCACGATTCATCTGTATTTGAATTTTCCCACCGGGAGATAGTAGTCAACACATTAAAGAAACAAAAAGAAACGGAATCTACACTGAACCTACAATGTCGCCAGTAGTAGTTGCGTTCCCCCCCTCATCCGCCGCCGCGTCCAGAGCCTCCTTATCAGCTGCCGCGTCAGTGGCTTCATCCTTAGCTTCGGACGATTCATCCTCCCCCTCTTCGTCTTCTTCATCTTCAGACTCGGTATCGGGCTCCAGTGACCTCTTCTCGCGCAACCACATCTGAACGTGTTCGACCATGGCACGAGTGTTTCAGCGGACATCTGGATTTTCCGGACGCACCTTCTTGCGGATTGCGATCACAGTCTTTGTCATCGCATCCGCCAAAATCTTCCCAAAGGAAGGGGAAGATTTATATTGACGGACCGCGGCAACCTGCGCTTCACGCACAGCCTCCGCCTTAGCCACGTCATGAAGGCGAACCAGATCCTCCTTCTCCTTTTGAAACTCCTCCCATTCCTTCTGGAACTGCTCACGAATACGCCGCAGCTCCTCGGTGTGATCCGCTTCCAGGTTCTTCTTCTCCCCCTGGAACTCGACACGGAGCTCCTCCCGAACCCGCGCCCTCACCGCCTCCACATCCTCCGCCAACTTGCTTTGCAAGACGCCCAGCTCATCCATGGCTTCGTTAGCCTTAGTCGTCGCGACTCTCCGATCCAGCGAGCCTACCTTCCAGCTTCACGATCTTTGACTCATCAGCCTTCAGACGCGCGCTTGCCCTGGCCCTCTCCTGCTGTGCGCGGAAAGTGGACAGCAGACCCTGCGCCCACAACGCCAGGGAACTTAGTCAAATTGTTAAGGCAAACAATACAACCCATACGAGTTTGGCTCATTACTCACCGCGAAATGGATCTGCGCGAGATCCTGCAACGGATCTGACTTCTCCAAACGAGGAGGGACGCTGAGCATAGGTCCGAGCGCCCGTAAAGCAGTCTGGGCGGAGGCGCTGTTGCAAGCCGCACGAGTATGAATCCGCACATCGCGGAAATAGTCAATAGCCCACATCTCCGACAGCGTCTTCTGGACGGTCGCCCCGGAGGAACTGGCCGCCGTCACTTTCTCAGCACGCGGGGCCTCTACGCGCGGGGGCTCACCCGCACCACCGGTTGAGCAAACACCACGGTCTCCATGGTCACCAGCGCAATCTTCCGCGGTCTATCAGCAGTGGACAGTTGCTCCACATCCTTCCGCTTCGCGCTGCTGGAACGCGAGCCTTCTTTCTTCTTCTTCCTCTCACCACGCGGGACGCGCGGAACCTTCACGACATCGTCGTCCGACATCATGCTCACCAGGCTCGAGAAGTCAACACATGTGTCAATAAATCGTAAGGGGGCTGTTAATATGACAGAATGCAAAAGGAAAGAATACAACTAACCATCAGCATAGAGCTCCTCCAAACAGGCCGCGCGGACCCCACTAATGTACAAGTTAATACGGTGCAACATGCACGCGACATACTGCTCCTCGAGCCCATCATATTTGCCCTGATCAGACTCGTAGCAGCGCGTGCTACCCTTCTTCCACACGGTGGGCTCCTCCACGTGCTCACTCCCCCACTCCCCGGGGATCGGCTTAACATAAAAGAACCGATCAAACCAGTTCTTCTTCAACTTTGGAGACCCATACACAAAACCATCGGGCCTTTTATCGCGCTGCCTAATCGACATGCAGTCACTCTTCTCGGTGGGCTCTTTAATCTAGTAAATCTTCCGGAATAGGCCATAAGTTGGCTTGATCTTGAGCCGCTTGCACACAAGGCGGAGGCAGGATGCGTGCATAATGACCGAAGGGGAGAGACGCCCGACCGAGCAGTTAAGGCACCGGTACAACGCGCACAAAAGCGGATCAATGGGAAATTTGAAACCCATTTCCCAGTAATCCGTGTACACCTCGAACCACCCCGCCGGAAAGTTGCCGACTCTGCTCCGCATGGAGGGAATGGCATACTCCCAGGTGGGGGGCAACCCTAAGTCGCGCACAATGTCTGTCACATCACGCCGCCCGTATATAGAGGCGTGGTCGGGTCCCCGAAGAAGGTTGTTGTGAGGCGCTGGCTGATCGCCCCACATCTCCGCCCAGTCTATTATAGTGTAGACCGCCCCCACACCATGGAGCCCAAGGCGGGCCATCGACTTGGAGACACGCGCGACACACACCGGCTCGGATTGGGTATCAGGCCCTTCGCGCATCGAACCCTCCGCTCTTCCAGATCTACACGCGCGGTCGCGTCGTATAATCAACACTCCGTGAGCGCGCGAGCTCTCTCCTCTATCTTTAGATTCCATCATCTCCAAATCAGAATTGGGCACAAAATTGTGTCCTGAATCAACGTCGTAGGACGGCGTCGCCGGAACCCCATCACCACCAGCTCCGCCGTCGCCACCATCACCGGAATCAACCAGATCCAGTGAAGGATCGGTAGAAATATGCGAAAGGGGTGAAAGATTACCTTCTTCGCCTTGCACGACCTGAATCTCGTCAATATTTGTGTTCTCCATGGCACTCCTCTGAGTAATAGCAACAACAAGTGAGAAATAAGGTTGTAGGAGAAGGAGAGGAATCTCGAAGAAGAACGAAATGAAAGGAGAAGAAAAGGAAGACGAAGCAAAGCCGAAAAATAGCAAAGTGATCTTCTCCTCGATTGTCGACTGCTACTTATAATCGACAGAGGGAAACCGAAGGGTTAAAGTTGCATTGGGAATCGCAACCGTCAAATCATAACTGTCAGAGTTTTTTCAAATTTCAAAAGCGCCGCCTTAACAGAGCAACCAGCCAGCGACACGTGGACACCTACCCTAGGCAGGCCATAGCCGCTGACGTCACAAGTTCCGCACACCGCCTGGGGGGCATGGCGTACCCGCGAAGAGAAAAAATCACACCCAACCCCAACCACGAGAACCACGCGCATCCGCGCACCGACTGGGGGGCATGGCGTACACACAAAGAGAAAAAGAATCACACCCAAGCCCAACCACGAGAACCACGCGCATCCACGTCAGAAAAGACGAGAACCTACTCCGCGGAAAACACGCCGCCTGGGGGGCACGGCGTACACACGAAGAGAAAAAGAACCACACCCAAGTCCAACCACGCGCACCCGCGTCAGAAAGGACGCGAACCTACTCCGCGGAAAACACGAAACACGCTAAAACTCAATCCCGAACCCAATAGTCTCGCGGATTTAACCCAAACCCGAGCCAACCTCGTGGAAATCAAACAGGCGGCATCCGCAGAATACCACCTGATGGGGGGGGGGCAATTGTTGGGTGTATGGCTCGGGTCCAGACGCGCCAGGGAGCCAGCGCAACGCCGACTTAGATTGGTTAGCCGCGCTTACGCGAGAAGCTTGAGCGCGAGGAAGCCTCACTCGCGGACATGAACTCCAAACGACGGCGTTTCAGCCAAGAGTTGACCAGGCCCAGCCTGCCTCGAAAACGACACCCTATCCCTCGAAGAGTGGTCACATCAGAGTCCTAAGTACAATCATGGACGAGCCTCCTAGTCCTAGGTAGGAGTATGGTCGAAAGTTCTGACATGACATCAGTCTTGTCACCATGTAACTCACCCACCACCATGTAGCCTATAAATATGACATTTACTCTGGTGGGTGAAGAGATCGCATTTTTCACTCTCTCACTAGACTTGCGAATAACTCTTTCTCTTTCTAAGAATATCCTCGTTTCAGACCCTTTGTTATTTACTCTTCTCACCCTCTTTCCCGAGTCCACCTCCTACCCTCACTTGGACTCAAACACATTTAATCATATATAAAACATATTTGTGTACAATTTACTTTCAATCCAACAAATACCATCAACTTTTAACTATTAATTTCATAAAATGAATACTAATTTAACCTTTTTATTAATTAAATTCATTAATATAATTTTATTTTACTTAGAATTTATAAGTCGATCATACTGTTCTATTGATGGTGTCACGCTGATTTCATGACAGGTTCAACCCGCTGTCATGAGTCATGACATTGACAACCATGGTTAAGTGGGATGTTGTGCATTTAACCCTACCAGGAATTTATTGTTAGAGTTGTGCGATTGAGCGAAGTAGGAGGGACATCCAAAGAAAAGCGCGGGGAGGGAAGAGAGAGCGATCCCGACAGAATGGAAGAAGGCGATGTGGATATGACCGGTGCCGATGCTAATGAAGCTGTAATGTCCCTCGTCTGACATGCTCTTCCCTCTACCAGACATACCCCTTTTGTCGCGTTTTGGCGCTCTGTGGATCAGGGAAAAACCCTAATTACGGTTCTGTTTTTCTTTTTGTGCTGATGTCGATTTCAGGAATTGGACGACATGAAGAAACGGTTAAAGGAAATTGAGGACGAAGCAGCTGCTCTGCGCGATATGCAGGCCAAGGTCGAGAAGGAGATGGGTTCTGTTCAAGGTGGATAGTTCTCTCTTCCCTTATTCTATTTTGGAGTATAACGTTGGATTAGAAGAATTTGATAGACGGTACAGTGCGCGATGGACTGGAGGCTTATCTAGTTCATAGATGTGAAAATGGCTGTTCAATTGATTTCTTTTTTTGAAGTTTTATTTGATTTCCAATCTTTGCGATTGTGTTCATCTTGTATGGTTTAGATTCTTACAAGTTCATATTTTTTTCATGACAAGTGGATGGATCCTCTCATTTCTTGTGGAGCCATGACTGAGATTCATTAGTCTATTTCATATTGTCCACTTTGTTGTAATTCACTTTGCATAGCTTTCGTTACCCCATATGCTATTCTGATGAGCTTTTGGTTCTCTGACCCGAGCTATGCTGTTATTTCTTTCTGTTTCTTTCATTAACACCTATGTGAACTAGGTATGTTCACATTTGATTAGAAAAACAAGATGATGATTTAACTGAATCATGCTTTCACACGATAAGGCATGGACAGTACCTTAACTTCAGGAGGCTTTCATTATCTTACAACCTTCTTAGGGCCTACTTTTGCGAACCAGCAGTTCCTTTTTTCCCCATCCTTTTGGGACAACCTGTAGTTGAAAGGAAGAGATGATGGATAAGAAGTGAGGGTTCATACTTGTATCATTATTTCGTCTCCTGTCTGCCATTTCTTGTTCATTCTTGTGGTGGCTACTCTGCAACTTCTTCACCATTTGGTATATGAGGACTTTCAAGATAGCAATCAGCTTACTTTTCCTTGCAATTTGTCCATAATCATTGCTTTTATGTCAAACTAGATCCTGGTGGTTCAGGAGCATCTCAAGCAAGCAGAGAGGAAGTAGATTCTCGATCAATTTTTGTTGGCAATGTGAGGCTTCTATTTACAGCTTCTTTCAGTTATTTATTAATTAGATGAAATGTTTGATGCACTGGACTAATCATCTCCATAGATCACTACAGGCACTTGAATATGCCCTTGATTTCTTCCTTTCCCCTATTCATTGGAAAAACTTCTTTCTTCCTCTGGGTGTTTTCCATACATTACTCATTGCTAGGGTGTCTCTAGGATCCTCTGAAAATCAGATTGCTACAGTTGTTATTCTTTTTACACTAGCAAATTGATGTGGTTTGTCATTATTGAATTGAAAGTTTGTTAGAGTTGTGTTTCCTGTGCATCGTTTCCCCCTTCCCACTAGGAGACGTGGAGGAGGGACGAGAGTGGGATGGGTGGGGTTGGAATCCATGAAGTCTCCTTGTACCAATTCAGAAGCATTTTGTCTGGAGTTAGTTTCATCCACTGGGTCTAGTCTGCTATGGACTAGCATGTGACCTAACTTGGATTCAGCTTAGAACCTGGTTCTGATGTGAGAGTCTAATTAGAGCCTAGCCAGGTATAGGTGATGCTAATGACGATGAACCTCTGTATAACTTCAGAGGAGCGGAAGGAACTAGACAAATGCTTTACAAGTGAGACTGACTGGGGAGAACATGTAGCTTCAGTTTTTCTCAGCTCGTTATGATCCTCTTAACTTTAGATGTGGACGACTTCGTCAATTGTCTAGCGTCTCCTTTTCCAAACTGCCTAAGTTGAAAGTCCAACATCAGTTGAGTGTTCCATGAAGCAACTATTTGTTGAATTGTGCTTTGAGTAGTATTATCCTGGGTCAAGTGATATCCATTTGGTGGGAACTGTGCTTTGATTATTATTTATCCGGGTCAAGCGATATCGAGGTAGCCAGGTTGGAAGGTAATATACTAATATGCATTATTGATTAGGCTCCAGATTGTTATTCAATCGTGGGGGAGCTATAGGCTTGTCATGGTGGGGAAAAAAGTGAAGGGGAAAATTTTATGAAGGGGTTGCCAGGCATTATATATTCTGTCATGGTTTTCCCCCTTTTCAGCTTAATATCCAAAGTCCATACTAGTCTACTCTTTTTTCAGCATAAACTCTTGCTTTGCTTTCTCCATCCTGTACTAGGTTTAGTTTTATGCTTGAGCCAATGGGCCAGGAAATTGATTTTCCACCCTTATATCTCCAAGGCCTTACTCTACAGGAACATAAGTTGAACTGAGGTATTTGAGATTTTACTGCTCTTGATTAATTTTCCTAGATGAGATGCCTACTCTATCAGCTATTTTGTTCCCCCCTCCTCTTTTGCTTGAGTTTGAGCTTCACAGGGACGTAGTCTTACAATTCTAGTTTGACCTTCTTCTTTGACTAAACTCGCAGGTCAGGCTTCATTCTTCGGGTCTCTCTGGTTTGTTAGTCGTGTCAATAGTGGTTGGGCGTGATAAAAACCGAGTGGGAAATTACGGGGGATGAAAACAATAAAAAGTATGGAGAATAAAATATTTGCATTCATTTGAGTTGAAAATAAAATAAAAAAGGTAAAAGATGAGTAAGGTTAATGAGGAACCTTAAAAGAAAGAAAAAGAATGAGTAGCCCTTCAGATCAAGCAGAGGAAAAGGTCTACCTGACTGTCTGTTGAAAAGTTTGCTCAAATATCCAAATGAGATGTGGGGTGGAAATGGACGAGGGAGAGGGTGTAAGCGAACATTCACTCAGATCAAATCTGAGAAGTAATTCTGGGATAATGGAGACTTGTGATGTAACAAAGCCAGACTGCTGGCTTTCCTGATGGTTATTGCGGAAGGAATAAGCAGATGCTTGCTGCTTATGGTGAGAGGTCTCCGATCTCTATATTTTCACCTCGATTGGGATGGATAGGGGTCTTCTATTTCTTTCTGCTTGTTTCTCTCCTTTCACAGTTAGAAACTAATACAAGTTATTTGTGTACTACTATCATGGTTTATGGATGATTGCTGAGAAAATGATTTTAAGCAATTAGCTTTGGGCCAGGTGGTAAGGCTGATGTTTTTCATTGTTACATGATCTTTCTGCTGGCATGTGCTTCCATGCAACCAGTTTTTGATTGTTTTCAGATGCTTGTGCTTTAAAGAAAGCTTTATGTCTGAGTGAGACATGAAGGCTCATTGGCCTCATCTGCATAGTAGCACTGTCTCAAGATACTTTTTCCCCCCTTCTGTCTTGGGTGTGTGATTGATGCCTGGAATGTCGTTCTTGCAAGTTGCAATGGTCTCTGGTTCTTTGTTTGTATCTTATGGTGTTTCTATGATGACTTAAATGCTGATAGACTGTCGATATTTGTCTTCTCTGTTCCTAGCTATTACTAAGCAGGTATGTTTTTGTTACATCTATTGCAGGTGGACTACTCGTGTACACCGGAGGAAGTACAGCAGCATTTCCAGTCTTGTGGAACAGTAAATAGGGTCACTATTCGCACTGATAAGTATGGGCAACCAAAGGGTTATGCTTATGTGGAATTCCTCGAGACTGAAGCTGTTCAAGAGGCGCTTCAATTAAATGAATCTGAGCTGCATGGCCGACAATTGAAGGTCCTTTAATGTTAAGACTATATTTTCTTAGATGTCTCATGATCTGCTTTTTCTCCATCAGATATTTAGAGCTTATTAACTCCAATCCCTCTTCTTCTCTAACTGGAGACTCCTTTTCTGTTCCCCCCTTGTCTGCCTGTACTGACCTGCAGGTGACTGCAAAGCGGACTAATGTACCTGGGATGAAACAGTTCCGTCCTCGTCGAGCCAATCCATATGCTGGATTTCCACCGAGGGGTGCATTTGTAGCTCCCTATTTTTACCCTGCTTATGGCTATGGGTACACACTTCTACTGATAGCTACCTGGCTTAGATACTTTTCTGCTAATAGCGGATGGTTTTGTGCTTAATTGCCTCTCTTCCTGTAGCTTGTTTGTGTTTGCATTCTTGTTCTATCCGATATTTCTGATGAAGTGGTATTCGGGATGATGCTTGCAGGAAGATTCCAAGGTTCAGAATGCCAGCACGTTACAGCCCTTACAACTGAGATGCTGTCAGGGCCGAGGCAGCAAATTGGTAGCAGTCAGTCGCTTCTGCAGCGAATATAATGATCATTTGCTCAAGCTTTTTATTAAGATGGATGGTGATGAATTTACAAAGTTGAGTGGAAGATCGTGAGCCCTTAGGAGATGCATTGTGATGGGATCGTTTTGCGGTTTAAGAACTGTTTTATTTCGGGGATGACCTGGCGAGCCTTATTATCTGGTAATATTCTTTCGTTTCGTAATTTTCCGTTTGAAAAGGAGAAAAAAAGCCCTGTTATCTTGTACTGCAAGCTTTCTTTTCTGGTTTGGTGGTGAGCAATGCAACCAAAATTACGATTCTATGTAGAAATGTTGGTGCTCTATAAGTGTAAAAACGTAAGCTTTAAAGTCTAGATTTTAACTACAATTATAAGTAAAAACCATAATATTACATAGAAGTGTTTTGGTGACTTAAAAATGTAGAAGTGTAAGCTTTTCAGTTTTAAATGCGATTTTGACTAATTCGTAGTGAGGGGTTTGGATTAGGGTAAATACAATTTAATATCCAAACCTTTCATTTTAAACAATATAATAGCCTAACCTTTTCGAAAACAATCTAATATCCAAATCGTCAACTTTCCGTTCGTTTGACCATTAGTTGACACTTCAAAAAAGTTCGAAGTATGACACTTCATTAATATCCATCGATATCTTCTCTGAAAAACCACCAACATATCGTGGTTCCAAACACGAGAAGTCCATGACTCCACCATGATGGTATAGAATATCTAAATATTCAGTCATCTGCAATGCCAAAACAAGAAAACAAAGTTGTATTGTGACAATTTCTCCTAAACAAACCTTTTTTGAAGTGTCAACCAACGGTCAAACGGACGGAAAGTTGACGATTTGGATATTATATTGTTTTCGAAAAAGTTTGGCTATTATATTGTTTAAAATGAAAGGTTTGGATATTGAATTGTATTTACCCTTTGGATTATGCTAAGAACATTGAGGTGAATAACATTTTGAGGGCGTTAGTTTTCTTACGCACTGCCCGCCAGGGATTGAACTACAGAAAGCTAAAAGCCGAATTTCAAAGTCAAGCTATAATTTCCGTTTCACTATCAATAGATAGACCAATTGTTTTCAAAATCAGGATTCTATGTAGGGATGTTAATCAAATTCATGGTCATAGGTATCTGATCGCTCCCGACTCAGTCAACGCGGGGAATTTCTGTTTTGATCGGGTATGGGTAAAATCTGTAGAAAGTTTGATGGGTATGGTTTTAGCCTCCCTCGTTTTATACTCATACCCGCCACACCAAGAGAATTTCTTCACATATAAAATAATATGTGGATGAAATTGTAATCTATCAATGATGATGAGGAATTGAGGATAACTCGAGAAAATAAATAGTAGAAATGCAATTGAGTGACCACCCTAATCAATACCTAATTCATTTTCCTCAATTCTTCCTTCACTCTCACTTTCCCCTTGTCAACAAGATTATGATAGTTAATTTTTACTCAGTAGATGTATTAGAGTTAGAGCATAATATTTTTGAAAATATTGTACTCTATATTATGTATTAATGGATGTTTTAGGATCACATTTTTGAACCGTATTAAGAAAATGACTGTATTTTGCTGACTTCATGATATAATAGATTCACTTAGTGTATAATTAAAAAATTTCTTCTAAATTTTAGGTATAATAATAATGTTGGATGTACGGGGACGGGTATTAGCTATGGGTACCTGAACTGAAACCCACGAGTATGGAATGAGTTTGCAAAACATTCCCCGTACGGATATGGGGCGGATATGAATTTGTGTATTTGAAAATGGAAATAGGATGGTTTAGGCAAACTCATCTCTAATAGGGATGGCAATGGGTCGGGTCGGGGATGGATAGTGCATATCAGTTACCCTATTCAAAGTAGTTCAGGTTTTACCCATGCCCATACCCACATAAAAAACGGGTAGAAAATCCAAACCATGCCCATACCTGTTCGGGTTTCGGGTATCCACAGTTATCCATGGGTAATAGTTTTTCTTTTTAACTCCAATCAATATGTTAATATTTACACGTATTCTCACGTTACATAAGACGAAAAGTACGACAATAGTTCACTAGAATGAAGAAAATTAATTAAAACAACACAATTTCAGAAGAAAATTATATTTATATGCTAAATATAAAATATGTTAGAGAAAAATATTGATTATTTCTAGACAAAATACATATGCATGTGTACAATCGGGTGGGTTCGGGTTGGATAGTGAGAAAACCATGTCCACCCATTACCCGCAATATTCGGGTTCGGGTTTTACCCGTACCCACTAAAAGTCTATCGGGTTCGGGTTTTACCCTACCCGATTAGGTCGGATTCGGGCGGATATCCACGATTACGGATATTTTTGCCATCCCTAATCTCTAATTCTATCTCTAATTCTATGTAAACCACTTTTTTCTTATCATTTTTTTTTAATTTGAATAAAAGTGGGTCTATTGGATTTGGACCAATCCAACCAATCGTTACAGGGGCAAATCAGTGAGCCATAATGCGAGTAGTTTCCTATTTGTTCCCAGGAAGTTACTCGTTGGATTTACCCATATGCCACCCACGCCTGCCTCTTCTTGTTGTCATTAGGGGGTAAACAAGATCCAGCTGTAGAACCCGTTCTAATCCATTCTAAGAGCATCTCCATCGGTCACTTTTTGCAATTGCAAAGTGACGTGGAATGCTTGCAACTGTAATTGCATTGTTGTAGGTAGGGCTGGACGTTCGGTTATCGGTTGCCGGTTAACCGGCCGGTTAAACCGATAACCGGCGGTTACTGGTTAACCGGATAACCGAAAATTACAAAATCGGGCGGTGTTCGGTAGCGAGGTCAGCTTTACCGGTTAACCGGCTAACCGGCAAAACTAACCCCCTCCCCCTTCAATCCTAAAACTACGCCGCCCTCCTCTTCCGCAAAAACCCTAATCGAGCCCCTTCAATCCTAAAACTACGCCGACGAGTTACCAGTATTCATTTCAACCCGCCACTTCACGCGATTGCCTTCATTTTCGGATCAAAGGAATCCCCACTCTCCTCGTCGATAACCTCCCTAGGCAATCGTCGGAAGTCAACCCTAAGCTCCAATGGATTCGACCGGCGAAGGAAGCGGAGGCGGAAAAGGAGAAGCAGCAGAAGCAGAAGGAGAAGGAAAGTGGTGGAGAATCATTCTTAAGCGCCATCCATTTTCATGGGTTGTGAACAGGGGAGCATTCTTACTTGGAAGTGGTGGAGAATTCGACCAAGAGAGGGGAAGTGAGGGTGATCGTCGAATTGAATTTCCGGTCGGAGTTCGAGATGGCGAGGGCGAGCGACGAATACAACCACCTAATCGCCCGGCTGCCGGAGGTGTTTGTCGGCAGGGTAGACCGGCTGAAGAATCTGATCAAGACGCTCTGCTCCGCCGCCGAGGCTTGTTCCAAGGAGAAGAAGATTCACCTGGCGCCGTGGAGGAAGTACGAGTACATGAAGTCCAAGTGGTTCGGTGGGTCGTGCGAGAGACTTGTTCCAAGGAGAAGAAGATTCACATGTCGGTTACCACGGTTAACCGAGCAACTAACCGGTAACCGACCGGTCGGTTGCCGGCTAACCGATGACTTCCGTCGGGCGGTTGGCGGTAGGCGAGACTGGCGTCGCGGTTAACCGGTAACCGACATTTCGGTTATCGGTTATAACCGATCTAACCGAAAATCCAGCCCTAGTTGTAGGCCTCAATTGCACTTTTGCAATCTTGCATATAATGTAAGTGGAAGTGAAAGCCAATATGGCTATTTTTATGGGAAGGACCGGTTGTTTTCTTCTTCTTTTTTTTTTAATTTTTTTCCTTTTTGTTTTTGCTTTATATGTGGAATTAAATCACATATGCAATTGCAAATGAATTGCATTGATGTAGGTATAATAAAAGTAAAATGAGATGGATTGCAAAATTTTTGAGTTGGAAACAAAAATAACAAATGCAATTGAGTTTATAATTGCATTGATGTAGATGCTCTAACCCATGCGTATTTATCATTAAAATGAAAGTTTATGGTTGGGTGAGAGTTTTCTTTAGTACAACACACTTCTATTGGGTTGCATGTAAATTTTGAGTAATGCAACTCGTAGAATCCGGCCTAACCCGTGTTGAACTGTTGGTATAAATGTTCGTATCCAAAAACATATTAGTGTCAGCGGCGGATCCAATATATAGTAGAGCAAGGGGCCGTATTTGATTAGAAAATTAGATACTATAAACAAAAAAACTATAATTTTCATTAAAATATCAATTGTACAGTGGTCTTTTAATTTAGCAAATTTATTAAAAATTGAGCGTTCATCCATACCAATAACATTCTCTCTCAAAGAGAATAGTTAAGTAATCAACATAAAATTTGCGCAAATAAGTTTTCACATGTTTAATTGCTAAAAAATATTTTTCCCTAGTATCCATTGAAACGGCCAATGTCAACACTAGAGTAAGAAAATAATATTTTTTCGCCTTTTTATTTGATACTTGAGAAGATGCTATGATGAAATATGTTCAAATCTGCATAATTAAATTGCACAACAATTATATACTCTTAAGTTCTGATTACTATTTTTTTTTTTTTTGAAAAGGCTAAGTTCTTTATTAATTGAAAACATGACAAACTGTAGATTAATGCACTTGTTTCTCACAAAGCGGGTTAATGCAGTTAAACAAAACAAATAACATAACTTATATAATATAATACAAAGCACAAAATTGAAAACCCCCATTCTCCACCCCTGACCCAACGCCATCAGATCCCCCAGCCCTTTCCTAATCCTAACAAATAATATAATTACCAAAAATCCAAAATAAACCTTGGCTCTTGCGACGCAAAGAAAAATTTCGTCAAAGATCTGGAGTGGGGATTGGCCTATTCGGGAAAAGGGCGGACTCTGTTCTCCCGGAGAAAGAATAGATCATTCACAAAAACAAAAACAAAAATCCTTTTCACTTTAATTTTTTGGCCGCAGGGAAAAGGGAAGGGAGGACTCTTGGGAATTGGATTCTGTGACTTGGGTTTTATGAGTTGGGTTTTGGGTCTATGAAGAAAAGACGGCTGGGCACAAAGTAGTGAGAGGGATGGAGCTGTGGGTTATGCCAGGAGGAGGGTTGGGCCCGGGCCCAGTGTGATCCAGCACTTGATCCGCTTTTGTTAGTGTCCTAACAAATATATTTGTGAGAAAACTAAGCTATTTTATTATATTTTTCTCTTTTGGTTTCCCTAGTCTAATACATTTTTTAACTTAATATTGGTCGTAGATTTAATGTAAACTATTATTCACGTAATCTTTTGTGTACAATTTTAGAAGAACAATATATTATAAATGTGTTAGCTTATAACCACTAGCTTATTTTGACAAATATTTATGAAAAAATG